AAGTTGGGGAATATCCAGGAGGAAATTGCGGAGATTTTTAAATTATATATGGTACATAAATGATCAGCAAAATGTGCTAAGTCGATTTAACTGTGGCTGTCCGTCTGTATGTCAGCGAACTAATTCCTCAGTTTTTGAAATATCGATCTGAAATATTATACCCGATCCTTTGTCTCCGAGAAGCTACTCATTTGTCAGAATCGCCGATATCGCACCACTATGGCATAAAGCTGTCATATAAACTGATCGATCAAACTCAAGTCCTTATATGGTAAACTTTTTTATTTGATAAGATATCTGTACGAAATTTACTTCTGAAAGGAAAATCCTCTTATTATTCTTGTACTTACAAGCATTTACAAACTTTTGGCAGCACTTTTCTCATTTACGAACGAGTTCGTCGAAAAACCTAATGATCTTGTTGAATTGTCTTATGTTACTCATTTATTACTGTCGATCGCCTGACTGATCTTTCCAGTGAAATTTAACAGATCAACAAAATATTTTAAGTGATCACTCTCCAAATCTGATCGTGTGTAAGATTTCAAAGTAATATGAATAGAAAAACATAATAATAACTCTTTTCTGTTCGTATAATTGAATAACATTGATCTACGAGTATATACGAATGTGGACGAAATACGTCAGTTCTACAAAAAATGCATAAAAGCTTTCATTACTAGATGTAGATATAAGCATACAAACATGCATACTGGTAATACGTTAACTCCACAATTGGCTGCTTATATCTACATCCATTCGTGCTTGTAAATCTGACGTTGTTATGCTGCCGATTCTGCTTTTCTCCACTTCAACACGGCCTTTGAAGTTGTTTGGCTTGTAAGTGCTGTAGTGCGTTGAAGATTACATTGCATTTTATTTTTACAGACCATAACTTAATTGAATTATACGCTTGGCGCATATTTGAAGTTTACACGATCAGCGATCATGCTGCGTGGCGCACACTTTTTCGTGCCACACACTCAACAACGGTAATAGAAAATTGCTTTTTGTGTAGTATTTACTTTATATACGCTTTCCCTGCAGCGGATTCCAAAGGTTTCTGCACCCATCATACCACAGCAGCCAGCGCGCTGTAATGCAGGTAATGAGCTGGAGCGGCGAAAAATGTGAAGATGCACTTTAACATGCCAAGAGCGTTGTGGCGGTATGATTGGTCACGATTCTTAAGTAAAAATGATTTTACGCCAAATTATTTGAGCCAATGAAGTACTTAAAAATTAATTACTAGATAAGCTGCGAAGCAAAACAAAAAAAAATTTTTTTCGTTCCACCTTAATATAATATATATACATATATATCCTGAGTCGATTTAGCGATTGCACGTCTGTCTGTATATATGCGAACTAGTTCCTCAGTTTTTCAGATATCGATCAAAAATTTTGCACACATCTTTTTCACCCCAAGAAGCTGCTCAATTGCTGGAACCTCCGATAATGAAACACTACAGCAAATTGCTGCTATACAAGCTGAACCATCAGAATCAAGCGCTTGCAGTGGAAACTTTTCCGTTTGACGAAATATCCTCACGAAATTTGGCATGGATTATTACCTAGGATAATGGTGTAATCTTGTTCAGATCGAGTCAACATAGCATATGGCTGTCATACAAACTGACTGATCAAAATCAAGTTCTTGTAAGAAATTTGTTGTATTTGTGAAGAGTATTATAGCTTCGGTGTAACCGAAGTTAACGTTTTTTCTAGATTTTTAATGGCATTAGCATTCTACTTGTGTCCTATTGGTTCTTAAGCCTTTGAGATCTGATTTTACGACTCGTTATAAACACAATCATTAAATGTACTGAGATTTAGCTCTGAAGTCATAAAAATTGATTTTATTAGAGTCTTAAATAAGTGATTAAACTATGGTTTTATGGCGTAAGAAGCTAGTGAAATATACAATTACGCATGTTAACATGTACATATGTTTGCATGTATGTATGTGTGTGTGTGTTGTTCTGCCCATAAATGCTATTGAATTACTCCTCCACTCGCTAAGCGCAATGATCGATATTTATAAGTGAAGTTGGGTGTGTTCCATGTAATGTTTATTTCAGTACTTTTCCTTTTAGGAGTTATTTTTTTCTTTTGCTGCCAACTTTTGCTTTCATTACACATCTTCCAATATTTCCTTTCTGTTCTATTCAGTCTTCCCTACATATATGCCAAAAATATTTGCCTTGTTGTTTGGATTCCCGCCGCCGCTTGGTCCCACCGCTTAAACAACCATTAGCTTGTATTATTCTTCGTTGCCGCACTTAGTATGCGAGTCCACACCCAACTCGCCTTACAGCGACTACTGACTTATAAGCACTTAAGCACTCATGCACATACTCGTATGTAAGTAAGCTGAGCGAACACACGTGCAAATTTCTGGCTTCTTTTCAACCACCCCGCTCTTACTGTGCGCCTCTCTCGACCAACCAAATCTCTGTAATGACCAGCGGTGCGCTTACTGAGCTTCACCTCGTCGCTATTAAGTGTATTGTTTCTCTTGTAAGCGTTTGCGCCGGAAATTCTGCACCTTTTTTCATAAAATAAATGATGTTTGAGCAAGAATTTCGCTCCAGTCCAAGCATTCACATTTCCTTTACTAGTTTTTTTGTGGTTATCACAAATAAATCATTTTGTTGTTGCACTAATTTTTTAATTGAAATTGCTTGCGGTACTATTCTACTGCCGAATGCTTGCAAGCATACATATGTATGTATGTACTTAGTATAGTATTTAATTTGGCTCATGGGTGTAAGCCTACATACATACATACATATGTAACTAGGCCCCTAACTTTGCCATTATTGTTTGTGCATTTATGGACTATAAATTTAGCAAAGTGCTCTCATTCAGTCTCATTCTCTTTGTAGTAATTGAATTTTGTGATTCTGATCGTGTCGTGTAATTTGCAATGAAAATATTTCGCTTACTTACACGAACATGTCTGATAGCAGTTCTTTTTTCATGTTGACACATGTGTTAGTCCGACTTTGGAGTTGATAACTTCAGGAATATAAATACTCGTATGTGTGTTTCTATAAATGTCTCTGTGGAGACTATTCGTGAGTATTCCGCATAAATTTGTGTTATTCACGTGGGACACCAATGTTTTTATATACTTATGTATTCACGTCCAAGCTTTGTTATACTCTGTTATAACTCATAAAAACAGACCCCATTCTTGACATGAATTAGTTCCCAACAGTTCTTCTTAACAAAGGATGCCCAACTTATTCCAGTGTGAGAACGCCTCAAAATTAGCGTTTTTTATAACATTTTCCATTGTAGCCAGATTGCACAAAATAATAATTTTTGGGAATTTAAATTAAAATAACCAATATTCATTAAGATTAAATATTATTATGCATGTATCCGTTAAACATATGGAGAAACTATTGAAACCCTTTTTTGTGATTTTGTAATATATTAAAACAATTGATTTTTGAACTTTTAATAAATGCTTATTATAATTTTCTGTTGAAAATTAATACTACTAAGTATGGCATCACAAAAGATTTCATCACATACATTTCAATTACGCGTTTTCTTTCATTTTCATTGTTTTCCAATTTTTGTTAGTGATCTTTAACAGCAGCAACAAATCTCTCTGTTTACAAATACAATATTTCTGTAGGATTTCAATCTGAGCGTCCCTCTTTTTCCAATTGCTAAACGTTAGACCTCTTGAACTTTGACAGTTGCCGGAGTTCAGGAGGTTTGACGTTTAGTAATTGCGCTCTCACTGATAATTTCTTGCAGTCAACTGAATATAAATGTCAAACACATTTCTTTGACAGCTTGTTTGACAGCTAGCCCTCAAGGAAATTTTATGCCTCTAAAAATCATTCTATATATAACATATTCTTAATACTTGTATATTGGTGTGATAATTATAATGATATGATAATTTCCATTCATATACATATATGACTATTAAAATAGTTATTGATGAATTTCTGTTTCCAAATGCTTCGGTTGAAGCTCAATAAGCGTTTCTTGTCAGCATTTTGAATTGCAAGCGTCATACTTCGCATAAGTGTTTTCAGTATAATTGATTTCGATTTATTTACATCGCACCCGAAGCAACACTCCCCGCCGTCACCTCCTGAAATAATTAATTTATATTTATATTGAACGCTTGATTCATTGTAATTGAAGTAGTTCATCGTCGCACATCGGTGGCGGCATCTTGGAGTCACTGACGTCTAACTTCCTGTCGCTTCGTCTTCGCTGCGGCCATTGCCATCACGCGACACACGAGTATATGTACGAATGGAGCGAGACTGATGTGCCCAATTCCTCTGAATGCTGTCGTCTTGCCACTATGTTGTTCTACGCCGTTTCTCTAAATTTAGCCATGCAAACATTGATGACAGCTCTCAGCCCTGTCTTGTGTACAGCGCATGCGCCTGTTTGTTTATAAAAATGCAAAACGCGTTCTGTGCGAAAGCAGTTGCAGTTGTGCGTTGCATATGAATTTGTGATTTGCAATTTGCTAAATGAAAGGCAATCGCTTAAAAATGCGTAATCGGCCGAAACAGAGGCTCATGAATAGCGATGAACTGGAGTGATGACGACTATCATGACCAAATACGAGTCCATAACTAAATGCATACAAACACAAATGCTTCGGTGATTAGGAGGATCGTACGCGTGTTGTTAGTTTTGTTGAGTTCCTTGGATGACTGCCACATTTTTCATTAAAGTAGTCGCTAGAAATGTTCCGGTTTGTTGAAATACTCGTTCCAGCAACACTGCATTTCCTCTGTAAACTTCGATAGCAGCTTGAGCATGCATTTAACCACTTGGCAGATTTATGTTTGACATTTTTCAAGAAATATTTTAGATTATGTTTGACGTGCATCTATCGGTGTCTTTAGCTTCGCACAAATTGAGCAATTAATTAAGGCGCACACATCAAGAAAATACATTCTTGTTACTCAATTCTTATTATCAACGTTCTTCGTTTTTTTTTCGTTACAGATTCATCAGCTTAGTCCCGCATTTTCCAACACCTCGTCAGTTTCATTAAAGTCGTCACCATTGCTCCTCAACCAGTAAGCAGTACAATGAATGGTCAAAGCTATGAGCTGAACCATACGAACGGTGATATCATATCACAGAATCAGCAAAAGGGCTGGTGGACCATTGGCCTGATTAATGGCGCACACAGGTATATGACAGCCGAAACTTTCGGCTTCAAGTTGAATGCGAATGGCGCCAGCCTCAAGAAGAAACAACTGTGGACATTGGAGCCATCGAATACCGGCGAAAGTGAGTATTATGTAGAACTTGTTGCACCTAAATTATGTTACGTGTAGTTATAAAATATCTAGAAGGTAACTAATTTTTTTGAAAACTTATCTCGCTAAAAATGTTATTCATCGAAAAATATCGATTTACAAGCGCAGTAAAAGATTTCGGTGAATATATATTTTGTTTTGGTTCTTTGTCAAGGTTTTTCCTTTTACATATTTATATAAATAATTTTAGAAACTGCTAGAAACATGTTCTATGTATAACGATACTCGTGAGGTTTGTCAAGAGATGGCGCAACTTGATTTTTTTTCCATTATTCCAATATACCGAACATGCGTTCGAAAGCTACTGTCTTGTGCGTCTCTTTCAGTATATTATGCCATTTATTTGAAGCGTAGAAAAAAATAATTTATAGTAATAGCGTATGTAGAACTTTGTACCTGAAAAAGTGATTTTGCGGAGAGTTCTTTTCAGAACTCTAGCTGAGTGAACGTGCCAAAAGTGGTTTGAACGATTAAAAATCGGTGATTTAAGAATTTTGGAAGGTGAAGAACGTCCTTGGTGGCCAAAATAGCTTGAGGATGAGCAACTAGAAGCATTATGCAAGCAGAGATCGCAGAATCTTTCACAGTCACCCAAGTAGTCATTTCAAAACGTTTAAAAGCAGCCGGATTCATTCAAAAGCAAGAAATTTGGCTGTCATATGAGTTGAAGACAAGAAACGTTTGAAATAATATTTTGCATCTCAGAAATTCTGCTTGAACGTTTTAAAAAGAAGTCGTTTTTGAATGGGATTATGACTGATGGGGTGATAGAAAATGGATCCATACCACAACCCTAAACGCAAAAAATCATAAGTAAAACCTGGCCAACAAGCCAATTCAACGACAAAGCCGAATATCCATCACGCCAAGGCAATGCTTTGCCTTTGAAGCGATAAAAAGCACGAGTACAGCACGTGAACTTCTAAAATCAGGTGAAACCATTAACGCTATCGAACGCTAATTTATTTTATAAGGCTGGTAAAGTGGTAATGGCCACAACTTTTCGGCGATTGCCTGAAATCAGACTAAAGCTATACTATGTATAATAGTTCTTAGGTATAATGGCTAATAAGTATTAAAAATTCAAATTTAGGCCCAATTTCTATCAGACGTTGCGCGAAGCTCTTTATGAAAGAACAGATAAGTGTAAACCGCAGTAATTTTCTGAATAAATCCGTAGTAATGAATAAAAAATTTTATTTGTTTAACCTCAGTTATGCTTCAGCCATTGCCTTCAACGTATAAATATCATTTACTCTTCTCATCAATCAAACTTCAAATGAGTATTTTTGAAGTTACCAGGTACAGCGAAGCGGACCTACCATGTAACACTCATTACAACCCTAATATGGCAACACATCATTGTAGTCATCGACAAAACGAAATCTTTTCAGGCACAATGATTAATCTTAATAACTATAAATAAAAAATCTTACACGATTGAGCAACAGATTGGTGTTACTTGGGTCTTCAACTATCAAGCCTCGAGCAGCACTTAAACCAAACAACCACTTCAAAAAATTGCTATCCTAAATTTGCACAAATCGAGCAAAGAAATCTATTCGTTGTAGTTTTTATGTAATATAATGAAAAGAAGACCTCGAAACGAATCACAAAAATCGAATAATGATTTAAAATTAAAAGTTCAATAAATCTGAGATTACACCAAAGAAGTGTCTCCAGCTAACAAATAACTGTGATGCAGTGCTTTTACTCTTTGTGTTCTACTTTTTCAAATTTCCCAAGATGATAATTTATTAAAAAAAATTTGAAAATTTATTCCCATGACATTACCAATACATACATGCATACATCCTTACATAAATGAAGTGCATAAAAGGAGACTTTTATTATTTTTTAATCTCTCTGTGCCATGTGAATTCTCAGGCACTTGGAACGCGCACCGATTGATGATCGCGTAAAAATCCGCCAATTAACAACATATAATATTTTAAAGAAATTCATATCTATTTGATGAGTGTTAATGGACATGTTCATTTACTGTTGTCGCTCTAAGCAGTTGGACATATAGATTGTCACATATACATACATACAGACAAATGTATTGTAGTTTGAGTAGCTTGCATTAAGCAAATGATGCAGTGACACTACTAGTTTGCCAACACGCTCTCATTTATTTTACACTTGCAGTGTCATCTTGCGCCTTGCGACCATGCAACATGGCCGTGCGGTTGTGTGGCAGTGCAGAAAATAGATTAAATGGCAGCTGAGCATTTGTTGGCGCGCCGCTGACCGCCTTTGCCTGTGTCTGGTGGTAGCAAGTTGACCGAGTTGATTGCCTGACATGAAAAGCGTTGTTATTGTTGCAGCAGCTGGCGGCAGCAGCCATGGATAGATGACGGCTACTGTACGTTCATAATTTATAACGTGATTGTGGAAAAGGTGGCAGCACATAACGGCGACCGCCAGACGTCCAATGCCGTTCATTGTTTTCCCGAGACGTGTTGTAGCGAAATTGTGGCATGCCACACGGTCGACCGGCCGACCGGCTGCGCAGCGCCAACAACGCCAACAAGCAAATGAGCACACATAGCGCAACAAATGGTCCATGTGAAATTAGTATTGCAACTTGTGAATGTGCAACGTGCTGTGCTGCACGGTTATCATACTCCAATTTTTCGCTAAACATTTTTATGTTTGTTGCAGTTGTTATTGTTGTTGTTTGTTTGTTTGTTCGTTCTTGTTTTCGTATGCCATCATAACTGCCGTTAAGTTGTATTAATATTTTTGTTGTTGTTATTGACTTATTTCTAAATTTCTGTTGCATGCCACGCACATGATTTGGCGGCTGTCGCATCTTTAACCTTTCAAATTTCAGTTTGCATAAACACACACACACACATACATATAAATATGTACAATTATTGTATGTGTGTGCCTGTGCCTGTTGCACGGCGTTCTGGTGGCTGCCAAGTCAGCGATTGTTGCCACATAAATCATAGTGCAGCAGCCGCAGCAGCTGCGCTGGCTTAAATCGCGCCTTGTATCAGCGCGCTTAGCAACAGCCGCGCAACGGTACACCTTGTTTGCTCAAGCATTTCGCAATCATGCAACAAACCTAACTGTTTGCAATCGACAGTATTAAGTTTAGACATTCTGATTTTCTCACTTTGCGCCTTGTTGTTGTCGTTGTGTATGTTGTTGCTGTAGCTATTGGTAAGCGATAAGCAATCAGTTGAGCTCGATGCATTAAATTACAAACGTTGCACGTTAAACATTCAAAATTCATTTACACATACATACACATACTAACGTTCATAATTGCGGTTGGGTGTGTCGTGGCCCAAACGGAGGCGAAAGACAGTGGTCGCGTTGTCGTGTTGAACAAATTTAAATGCCAAATTTGATTTAGAGGTGTGCCACGACTAACAAATTGCAACCGAAATCCGCGTGCCACAAATGCTGTCAGTATGACCTATGCATGTTGGTACAGTTAGTTAGTGTTCCAATTATATGCGCTTAGCAAATCGATGATTTCTCGTTACGTTGCCAGGACGACTTGTAAAATTAATAGGGGAAGTAGTGGGCTTAAGCCGGGTGAAATTTAAGGAAAGCTTTACAATTTTCAAGTCCATATCACAGCAAGTCATATTGCGGTGTCTATTAATATTAAGTTATGCCACGTGCACTTTTGAAATATATAAGTATGTACAAATGTATATGCCTTTGTGCGATCCTTTAACTATTCTAATATGCTATCTATTTGTCAAAAAAGGTCTCAGTGAACTGAGACGTCTTAGAATAATAAGTTTAAATTTCTATCGGTGCACCTAGCGGCCATTTCGTGTAGGACCGACAGATAATATAGGAACATGAAGATCAGTCATTAAGTATCCAGTGCCATGGAATCAATCAAGTGATTTGATGGGTTCTGCAATTGGTCTCTGAGATCAGCCTTAAACCCAATGGTTTATATAATCTATGGACTGTTAAAATTTTATCACAAAGTTAAATTATATATATCCGTTTCTAAAACGCTATACCTATGTTAGCAAAAGTTTTCGTAGACTTCATTTTACTGTATGCTCTTGTTATCTTATCTATGGCTACACATATCTAAGCGCTAATACGCGATCCATTCCCAAGCATATACAAAAAATATGCTAAAGAACTCTGACTTTGCGCAAACATATGTTTAAAAACTCATTTCGTGCAGATTTCAGTTTTACAAGCTCACTGTTGTCTATATATGCTAGGTGTATACATAGTTCAATAATATTTTCATAGAATTGTCAGCTGTATTTCAGCTTTGTCCGTAGGTGCCGCTAAGGTTGGACGTATTTTTATGAGCTTGGCGATTTTCGTTTGTTAAAAGCTCACACCTCATTGCTTGTTCGTGGATTCTTGGCCAAAAACAATACTGTAAAGACTGAAAGAACTGAAGGCTATACCAAAAATTGTGTTTGAGAAGTGCTTCGACGATTAGAAGAAGCGCTAACATAGGTGCATAATATCGAAAGGGGACTATTTTGAAGGCGACAACATTAATGTAGACAAATGAATAAATATTTTGTTACAAAAAACGAAAATTTCCGTTATTTTTTGAAGTCTCCTCGTATTCCAAAAAATTGCGTAGTTTCAGTGATAGTCTGATTATTTTCGGGTGCACATATTTTATTTATTTTTTGTCCACTATTACTCCACAATTTTCCATACCGACTTTAGCTTTTTTTAATTATATGTTAGCTATACTCGTACCCTCTCAATGCTTTGACTAAATTTTGATTACGATAGAGACGATTACAACAAAGTTCAGATTTCTCTACAGTTACTCTCATCATTGAAAAGTACTATATTCTTACCGAATATTCGAAATCGATACTATTTGACATAATCGAAAATCAGATAAATTTTGTATCCGACGTGAGACAGCAAAGACTTGATATACAAAGGTTAAAAGTCTAGTTGTCTCTTTGGAGACTCACAAAATTCAAAGTAATGGAAGCAGGA